TTGATGGATTGCATTTTAAAACAATAATTATTGTAAGGCTGCATTAAACAGCTTCTCAAACGCATTTATATGTAGTTACATTTCTTATACAGATAAAATATTAGATAAAATGGGAATACCTCTGTGAGATAATCCAGTCACAAAGTAAAAATAAATGCAATGATAACTGGCCAGAAATTATGTTAATTAGTATAGAGAGAAACTATATTCTCTGAATAAGTTTACTGTTAGAAAAATATCTACAGTCAAAATTGATATTGATTAATTTTGATATATCCAAGACTCATCATTGTTTCAACAACTTAAAATTTATCATTCAAACTATCATATCAATTTGATTTATATAAATGTATAACTTTATTTAAAAAACAAAGGTAGATACGCCTAAGTTAAAAGCCTTAACTTCAAATATATAGATAATAATATCTAATTCAAATGAATCTCCTAAATTTATCTTGATGTGGTTTCTATTCTCTGGCACTAGAACTTGTCCAAAATAAACCACAGAACACCACTTACACACCCAAAGATACTGTTATTCACTCTCCTACATACAATTGTACAATACATTGTTCCTCTGGACTCACTCTAGCCAACATCAGGTGACATTCCTGTAGAACATCAAGTCACCTGTTGCACAGATGAAACTGGTAGATAATTTCTGCACCGCGTCTATCCTGAGAACATCAATACCATAATCAAGGCTGGAAATGATTACCCTCATTTTGTGAGTAACATTTCTTGAAAAGAGCCATCTCCCTCTCCTCTAATATCTAGTCTATCACCAATCGCCAAAACGAAGTTAGAATCCACTGGATGAAGTAGTGGTCTCACTTGGAGTGCTTGAAATATTATGATGTCTAACTCTGACTGTGCCCGTGTCAACTAGAATCTCCACTTCTTGCTTTTATATCTTATCGGATGCATATCAAGCTCCACCTAGCCATGAAAGAACTGGGCTGACCACTAAACTCTTTGAAGTAACTATGCTGCTGTGCTCCTCAAAGCCATTGGCAAGACTTTACTAGGGTTCCATTAGTTTTCTGGACCATTTCTACAATGTTGTTAGTTGTCCTTGACCTAATGAGCCATCAGATGATATTGATAACCTTGCCTACTTTGATTTTCAGCAAAGTCCAGGTGCTGTTGGTTGACTATCATCAAATGCTTGAAATATGACTGTAAACTAGAGTGCTTTTTAAGTTTGTTTAAGTCATTAGATTATAAAAGTGCAGTATAATAGAACAATATGTACTTTGAATTTAAAAACCCTACATACGCCAGACAAGTTAATGCTTCTTTAATTACGACATAGCTGTAATAATTAGGAAGATTTCTATAACATTTATAGTATTATATAGCTTTATTAAATTTCATCAAGTATGAGATTCTTTCCAGTTGATAACGATATTTTCGACCTTAGAAGCATCGTATGAAACACATGAAATAAGCAGCAAAGTCAGAGGCGCTTACAATTTAGGACTATTAGGCAGAGGGAGGACAGCCAGTCGCAACCACCTACCGGCTAGTCGGCTACTCTTAACCGAATAGCAGGTTTTAACTCCCAAACAGCTGAAAATGTAGGGTATGTTCAGCGGCGAAATGTCGCGATTCGAACTTTGGACATTCCGATCCACACCTATCTCTAGCGACTTGTACATTCTTGCCAATAACTTTTGATAGTACAGTTTTGCACATCGAAAGCTAATGAAGCACTGTAAACAAATAAGCCTAAAATTTGCCATAAACGCCGCGTCAGAATGTAAATTATTTCATACTCTTCCTAATTTTCGATTATGGACTTTGTCTTAGAGGTGCATAAAAGAGAACAAAAAACTAAACTAAAACCTATTTATGTTTTCTCCAATTCACTGCCTTCAACGGAATCAGATGGTGTCAGTTAGGTTGGATGAGAGTAGGTAGCAGTTCTCCTAAAATATTATATATATATATATACAAGGATTCAAAACTGAGGTTTGTAATTCAAACGCTAAGATGGATGTAACAAAAACACATCTGCAGTCTAACGTGATTTTTATCCCACATTTTTGGCTTATTGGTTTAAAATACTTCGTCAGCTCTCGGTGTCTAAAATTGTACACTTTGAAGTTTTTTAATGATGTAAATATAATTTTAGTTAAACTTTTGCTTTTCATTAACTAGAAAACTAATTAACTGTGGTATTGGATGTTCCTGTTGCTGACACAACGAGCCTTGTGCACTTGACTTTCGGAATTGGAAACGTAAATGACTAAATGAACGTTAAGTTTAATATTAAGTTGTAATATGTGATTTAATAAAACGCGGCAGCATAAATTTGATATGGAGGAAAAAGAGAACCGAGATCATTCGCATGATATATTGTTAGCTTATTTCAAGTAAGATATAATTGAAATAAACTGAACTGTGCTGCTTAAATAATTTAACATTATATAATTTTAACGTCACTTGACCTAGGGTAGCTGAATTTGAAAAATGATTGAACGACACAATAAAATTAAAATGAATAATTAAGCTAGTACTAGTAGTACTACTACTGTTAATACAACTGCTGGGAGTTTTACTCCCAAATTGAACTTGACTGGTCGTAGCGTTAACAAAAAACACATCACTCCCACGACTAGGCATTAACAAAAAAGAAAAAAAAAATCTCGACTAGTGTTAGTGCAGATGACAAATGTAATACTTTACTGTGTACAAGTTTTGTAATTGTTGTAACTTGTGACATTGAATTGATTGATTGTTGAGTGTGAAGACCAAAGCATGAAGTCTATAAGATTATAAATGAGTGATCCACACATATGTTCCCGAGTCCATGAAAAGAAAATCTAGTAATTAGTATGATTTTCTTTCCAATGTAATTAATACGAAATTTACTTGAAAAGTTTTGGATTTAATTGATCTTGTTAAAGTAAAATTAACAAAGAACCTGGTAGTAAAGCAATGGACAAGTGAAGGTCAGTTCTTAAGCCTTGGGAAGACTAGACTCACCTGTGGCAAACTAAGACAATATGATTTATTTTTGTCCCTGGCTTTCATTACTTTTGTGTCCATGCATCTTGTTTTTTAATTTTATGACAAATGACAGATGTTTATTTTTTGGGATTTATTCTGTTTTTAGAATAAAAAATGTTGGCAGGTTGGAATAAACACTCATCTTGCCCAATAATTTTATACCTAACATTTGGATAAATAATGAAAGATAAGATTAAGAAATAAAATTAAATGCCTTCTGCACAATCATATATTTCAAAAACTTCAGGCAAAAAATCAATGATATTTTTTTTAGTTGCCTAATACAATTCCATGGTAAGTTTTCTCAATTTGGGCACATGGATTATTGAATGTGCAAAATAAAAGAAAAAATAGTAAAAACTTTTTCATCTATATTCATAGCAATCACCTAATAGTTTATTGCTATGAAAACAGAATGGACTTTTTAGCATCAGAACAATCCTCCACAAATGATACTGACCTTCGTAAGAAACTAGTCTTATCTTGCTAATCATTCATCAGTATTTCTGGTGAAGTAACATTTTGCTGTGAAGTGACAAAATTACCACAGAAGACTGTGCAGTTTATAAATTTTAAGTACATTTATCTAACTTTTTGTATCTCATTTCTATCTTACTAGCTGAGAAACAACATCCCTCCAATATGCAGTTGTTTTAAGTTTCTGATTAACCCTTATTCAAGCTTGAGTATCTTTGATATTTAGTCAGAAATTACTTGTTAAATCTATTTGTAGTGAGTATTTAATAGGCTATAATATGGTGAAGCAAAAGTGTTTAATTTACAAGATTTTCCCCCAGTGGCTTAGCATTGAGTCTATGGACATATAAAATTAAAAATCAGGTTTTAATACTTGTGGTGGGCACAGCACAGGTACCCCATTGTGTAACTTTGTGCTTAATAACAAACTTACAAGATCATCATGTTTGCGAATACTCAAGTAATTGAACAGTCAAGCAGAAATAGTTTTTTCATATATCATCATTATCAACAAACTTAGATCTTTACTGTAAATGGTTGGGAAAGGTCCAAAAGTAAGTTCCTTAACTCTCTCCAGACAAGTCATGGGTCAAAGGCCATGTTATCGTGTTTGTTGACTTGTATTGAAAATTTTATTGAACTACTATTTCAGGAATTTATGTCAATAAGTTTGGAATGAAACTGTAGATTATAATTCAAATTTTAGTATTATACATTATTTAATTTCTTAATTTAAAAGTAAATATTAAAAAAACAGTT